TAAGGGTCTATCTTTCCAGTTCCCAAACACACAGACTGCTGCCTTTGCCAGGCCGGCATGACTCACTTTGAGCAGGTAGTCTGTCATGTCCATCAAGTCCGCCCTTACCACTCAGTGAGGCATTTTGAGGGATCTGCCTATAGTTTGTAGAGCTGGGAACCTATGATCCACTACCTGGAGTGACATGAAAGAGCAGGCCCTTAGAAGCTTCTCTTCCTAATGCCATCACTCTCATGATGTTTGGACAAAATATAAAATGACCGGTCTACTTTCTCTTCTCAGGCCTTGTGGACACTAAGCCCAGGGGACTGAGCGCATCTTAAATGAAACTCGGGGATGTGGAAGTTCATGTTCTGCTGCTAGTTCTAGTCTTTGTCAGTGGAACTAGGTTACTTTACCTCTTGCTGTTTTGGTCTTTCCATCTGTAAAATGGCCCTGGGGCCGCCAGCCCACCCAGAAGGTAGCAAGGAACCAGATAGATGTTCTTGATTTTAAGTTTCAAATAAAGTCATGCAGGCTGCCTCTAATCACCATCTCATTACCTTGAGTTCAAATGTCACCTCTGCTTCTGCAACACTTAAGGAAACCTGGATCCTGTATTTCTCCTCACCTTTGTAATACTCTGAGTATTTTACAAATAACTGCAGGCAACGGAGAGCAAGACATTCAAGGAAAGAGAATACACAAATACTGAGATCACAAGGACAAGGGATCAAAAGACGCATATGCGGATCACTTTCTGGTTTTGGAACAAAAGACAGAGTGGCAAAGGATGGGGCCCCCGTAAATAAGATGTGTAGGTGAACGGTGAAATCACTGAAAGAGAAAAACAGGAAACCGCCAGGATGGTTACATTTTATATGAAGATGGCCACTGTTGGCTACAACAAGAAATCCTTTAAAAAGTAAGAGTCTTTGGAAGCAAGAGGTTAGAAGGTCTAAACTAATTAAAACCACGTCGGCTAACGACAGGCAACATCACGTGAGCACTGAGATGGAGAGTAGCTATAAAAGCTTGACGCGTACGTGCAGTGTATTAAGTTGAGAATACGTGTCCCTCCAGCTTCGTATCTATTAAAGGAACAAACAATTTACATGTGGCTGCATTACGGGAGTGTGATATGTGGAGTGACAAACCTTTCTCTTCACATCCAACTATGTGCAGTCAGAGCAGAGATGGGGTGGAGGGGGGTGAGGAGGGGAGGAGAAAAGCAGGGGGAAAGAAAGTTTTAAAAAAATCTCTGCCTCAGCAAAAGTTTTCATTAAAATTTTAGACAAATGATCCCTGTGTCCTTCTCCCTTGCTGCCTGGGGCTCCAGGCTATTTCTATGCAAATAACAACCTCGTGGTTTATATCTTATTATTTCCACCAGAGCTGCAGTGCGACATGACCTGAGACGTGTAAGAGGTGGGTTGGGGGCTGGGGGGTGGAGTTAGAGAGGAGAGAGAGAGAGAGAGAGAGAGAGAGGGACAGAGAGAGAGAGAAAGATGAAGTGGGTGTTCACTCAAATGTGAAAAAATATTGTCAGGAGTGAGCGTCAAGAACAAAAAAAAATTGCAGGGATAACGTGTTTATTTCAGTCCCCCCACCCGCCCTTGCAAACCGGCACCTTTTAAAATTCATTGGGCATCAGGCGATCATGCACAATCCATCTGCTTTCACTTTATCATTTGCATTTCATGCCTCCTGGCTTTTGATGTGCTGATACTTTGATGCAGTCAGGAGACACGCATTATCATTATTTCAATTTTCGAAGGGGTCAACGGGATCGGCACTTGCACACACAGATTTTTTTTTCCCCTACAACCTCTGCACACCACCTCCCTTCTTATTCTTCACCCTAATGTTTAACATAAAGGATGAAGACTCAAAAAGGTAGGGGTCAAATGTTTACAGCCTAAAAGCTCACATACACCGCCTACATTCCCGCTTTACACAGGTACACGCGTACGACAAGCTAGATGGTCAGGGCTTGTGGAGTCTCTACAGGGTTTCAGACACACACAAAGACTCTCACACATGGAGACTCAGGGAGGCACACAGACAGAGAAAGAGGGATCTAGACACAAGATACAGACACAAAGAGACAGAGACCAGCACTCACACAAGAAGAGGCATGCACTCAAAGTGACCTGGACACACGCCCAGAGGATGCGAGACAGAGATTCCTATAGGAAGAAAAAGCAGATGTGCAAAGAGACACCAGTGCAGACAAAGGCAGGACATGCACAAGGAGGGAGGCAGAAGAGGCAGTCTGAGCATGTGGCTCCTTTCTAGTTTCCTTTCTCGTACCTGAGAGGCAAAGGGGCAGACAGGACATTCCTAATCAGTTTGCATGAAATCGGGGGTCTTCCAGCACCACGGCTGCACATAAGAGGCAGTGACATGAAGACAGTGAAGCAGGCAGAGCAGGGTTAAGTAACCCCTATAACTGATCACTCCCTTCAGCTACAAATGATCGCAGCCTTCTGGAAATGAGCATTGTGGGGTAAGTTACAGCTACAGCTTTACTGTCTTTTCCCTACAACGAGACTTCTT